CTGAATTTTCTTTTGCAGATTATTGCCTATGCTATCACTACTTTAGTGTAGAATCTAATCAGCAGTGACAGTGAGATATCAGACTAAAACAAGATAGAAGAGAGGGAGATGCCCTACTTATATAAGTAGTGCCTATGGACAAGTGTCCCTACAAAACAGGAGAGAGCCACGTGTGAGAAAAACGCTAAGTATGGTTGAGCTCAGTGTATGTCCATCTCTCACTCTCTAAATGTACCAGCATTTCAGGATTATAGAAGATTAACAAATGGGAAAAATTAAAGAGATATTTGAGAAGTATTAACATGGGAAAGGTAAACACATATTGACAAGAAATAACCTCACTGAAGAAAAAGCAGAACTAATCAAAAAAAGAACTTTAAACAGTCATAATAAATAGCCTTAGACAGACATGGGAAAATAGTAGAAATACGAAGCACGGATAAGCAGTTAAGAGAATAACAAAATACTAGTTGTAAAAATATATGGAATCATTGCAATGAAGAATTTTAAAGGTTTGAATAAGAAAATGAACAGAGCTGATTTAAGAATGAATCTTGGAAAAAAAGACACTTCAATTATCTTCCCAAATCAATGAAATACAGACTATGTACACAAAGTATACAGCAATAAATTAAAATCAACAACCAAAAGAAAACTTTAAAAATATTTTATCCAGAAATTAAGCTGTGAATGAAAGAGAGAATTCTAATACTTTGAAATGAATGACAAAATGCATGTCTTTGCTGTTCATGCAGTGTTAACAAAAAAATGCATGTCAAAGTATGTAAAATCTAGCTTAAGCCTAAAGAAAAATTAATCTGAAAAGATCAGAAAATAAGAATCATTTAAAACATACTTAAGATATTATCAGATGATATCAACTGCATGAAAAGGTACTTCTTAAACTATAAAACTTCTCAAATGTAAAATATTATTTTTATATGCACTTAGGCCAGACATGCACTTGCATGCCTGTAGTCCCAGCTACTAGGCTGAGGTGGGAGAATCACCTGAGCACAGGAGATTGAGACCAGCCTGGCAACACAGTGAAACCTCAACTCAATCAATCAATCAATCCATTGGTGCAATTAAAATTTCCTAAATTTAATTTTATTTGGAACTCTCTATAAAAATTATTATGCCAAATGGAACTAATTCCTAGGCATGTGTTTACATACAAAAAATATGTGATTTAAAAAAATGAATGGACATAGCTGAACATACATATTTTCCTCTATTTCGGTAAGAAGTACACCAATTACCTTTACAATTTTAAAACTGAGAATTTGGGAACAAGACCTAAAATCTCCTAGATCATACTGCAATTCAAGTGGACCACTGCATCATTAAGTCATCATTTTTCCCTTTCATGGAACACAACTGTAATCAAAAGTACTCATTTTAATAAACCATTATTTGATTTTACTTTGCTATTACATTTATTTTTGATAAACAGTCTGTACATCAAGTATCTGCATGTCAAATCATATTAGCTCATTATGTACCTATATATGCATATAGACACATATATATCACTAATTTTAAAACTCAGTATACATTCAGACATCCTGGGGAACTGAATGCTTCATACACTGTAAATTCTTAGACCCATAAGTTATTCATTTACAGAGAACTAGAATACAATGTACTTAAAAATGAATTTCTATAAAGTACAATCTATTATTTTTGTGAAAACATAGAAAACACTTCAGCATTTGGAAAAGCATATCAGAATAATTAATAACACCAGCCTGCTAAGTATCTTTACATTCACATATTCTCTCTATACATATATATAATGTATTAACATATACATACACACATGTGTGTGTATGTCTTTTATCACAATATAAGTTTCAGCAGGACATATCTGATGTGACTCTTTGAGGTGTCCTTTAAGTCTTATTACACAATCAATTTTTATGAATGTTCTGTGAAATTTCAAGGACTACATTTTCCAGTGTCACTTGTGTAACAAGGTTCTGACCAATGGAATTTGAATAGAAAAGGCATATACAACTGTCAAGCTGTACCCTTAGAAAAAGTGCCTCTTCTCTCTTTTACTCTGTCCTGCTACCTGGAAGAAGAATGTACTGGCAAGTAGTACATCAGGCATCTTAGATCATGAGATGGAAACCACTTAAGGAGAAGAATAGGAAAGAGTAAGGCCCAAGGGCTCCACAGGACTATACTATCAGTCCTAGACTATTTATGTTTGGACTGTTATATGAGAGAGAAACAAATTTAAGCTGTGTTAAGCCATTGTTACTTAATTTTTGCAGCAGCTATGAAACTTGTATCCTAACATTTGGAACACCAACCGTTATCTTGCAGAGCAGGGATGTCCAATCTTTTGGTTTCCCTAGGCCACACTGGAAGATGAAGAATTGCCTTAGGCCATGCATAAAACTAACACTAACAATAGCTGATAAGCTTAAAAAAAAATTGCCCAAAAAAAAATCTCATAGTGTTTTAAGAAAGTTTACAAACTTGTGTTAGGCCTCATAAAGCCCACAGGCTGCAGGTTGCACGAGCTTGTTGTATAGAGCATTAGAAAGCCTATGAAGTTGGACTAAATCTACCCTGACTTAATGAAATGTCCTCAATGTCTGTTTTCCATATTAATCATTTCATAATATATGCCCACCTATTTATCTTTCGCATTTTTCTCAAGAAAGGAATATGTAATATGTCAAGAAACTGTGTAAGCATCCTGCTTATTTAGGTTCCAGAGAAACAAAACTTTCTTGTCTCAAAAAATCACTTTGTTGTCTCAAAGTATCCTTTTGTCTTCACAAAGAATTTATAAATGACAATTCATTTTTGTGACCTTTGCAGAGTCACCTAAAGAAATATATTAGAAAAATATTGGAGAGCAAACATTTAGAGAAGTGCTGGAGAGTTAAGAAATAATTAGGAGAAATACCTAATGTAGGTGATGGGGGGATGGATGCAGCAAACCACCATGGCATGTGTATAACTATGTAACAATCCTGCATGATCTGCACATGTACCCCAGAACTTAAAGTATAATAAAAAAAAAGAAGGAAAAAAAACAGAGATAATTGATGCAACTAACATGTCTATTCCATTAGTTCAAGAATAAAAGACAATTCAACAACTTAGAGCTAATTGAAATGTATTCTCAAACTGCATTCATATGACAAAAGTGTGAAGAATTTGCACTGAAGTGTTAAAATCTAATCCTAACAACTAACTATATGAAGTGTTTGCTAATTCACTAATCAGGGTTCATAATCTTCAGATTTTTTAAAAAGGCTCCTCTCAAGGCAGCCTACTCTGCCCAAGTATAGTAATGATTGTTAGTTGTTTTTACTCTTCCAGTGCACTGTAAATAAAATCCACTAAAACTTGGTTTCTCCTTTTTTCTCAGTCAAGCTTTCTGTGATCACGAACAATCATCCCAGAACTGGAAGGGCAATGGACTTCCACGTCTGTCTCAGTAAGTTAAATATTTTTCAAGACTATCCAAGTTGGATCCATTTTATCTAGCAAGTCTGTGTACTGACAGCAGCATTTCCTAAAACCTCACATTTACCCTGTAAGTGATATGTATGCTAGGGGCTGCTGAGGTCAGAAGTGGGCAGAAATGGGACAATATGTGCTCAGATGTGTTTGGGAAATTCTGTGGTCAGAAGACACATTATAAGCATATTAGTTTGAGAAGTGTTGCAGAAAAAAACGATGTTTAACTCTTTTTCCAAATAGTATTTATTAAGTACAGAACACCTTTTCCATGCTGGCCTAGGGATCTCTGTGAAGAAAACCAGTTCTTAGTCAGTTATCCTAAATTATACAATGAAAGGGGATCTGATACTTCATTAGGCACTTAAACTCCTTTACCCTGTAATAATGATTCAGAGAAAGGAATAGCCTGAGATTTTCTCCTTAAATCACGCTGCAGTTTACAAAGCGGAATACTTCTTGCATTGCAAGGACACTATTCCTGAACTGTTCCTAGGCTGTGAATACCATGAAAAGAGCTCCATATTTTGTTCATATTACAACCTCCTCTGCTCTTTTTTTGTTTTTTCCTTTTTTTAAAGACAGAGTCTCATTCTGTTGACCAGACTAGAATGCAGTGGCACTATGTGGGCTTACTGCAGCCTCAACCTCCTGGGCTCCAGTGATCTTCCCACCTCAGCCTCTCAAGTAGCTGGAACTAAATGTGCATGCCACTACACCCAGCTAATTTTTTTTTTTTTTGGTAGAGATGGGGGTCTCACTATGTTGCCTAGGCTGGTCTCAAACTCCTGGGACTCGCCATGTTGGCCTCCCAAAGTGCCAGCATTATAGGCATGAGCTACTGTGCCCAGCCTCCTCCACTCTTCTAAGCAAAAGCAAACCCAGGCTTTGGATGTTACAGGTAGGGAAGTTTAGGAAAAATTAACTTCATTCTATATGCTGGATTTTCATCATTTGAGTATATCTGTCTTCTAATTGTAGTTGCAATGTTGTCAATTACATATTCTTTGCATATTAATTGAAGATGAGTTAGAGTGGAAGCAATTTTCATTAGTCTCAATCTTTGTAATAACTATTTTTAAATTTTATTAAAGGAAAAAGTATAGAAATGTCCAAATCAAATCAGTTTAATGTTAAAAGATTACAAGAAATAGCAAAGCCCTTCCAGAAGAATTTTAATAAGATATGATGCTAAGTACATCCCACTAGACAATTCTCCCCATTCCCAACTATCTTTCCAGAAGAGACCCTTTTTCTTAATCACATGCACTAGTCACACAAATGTGTGTACATGAATATGCAAAGTTAGAAAATGTATTCTAGGCTGGGCGCAGTGGCTCATGCCTGTAATCCCAGCACTTTGAGAGGCTGAGGTAGGAGGATCACTTGAGCCCAGGAGTTCGAGACCGGCCTGGCCAACATGGTGAAACCTCATCTCTACTGAAAATATAAAAATTAGCCAGGCATGGCAGCACACGCCTGTAAGTCAGCTAGTTGGGAGGCTGAGGCACAAAAAATTGCTTAAACCTGGGAGGCAGAGGTTGCAGTAAGCCGAGATCACCACTGCACTCTGGCCTGGGTGACGGAGTGAGATTCTGTCTCAACAAAAAAAAAAAAAAAAAAAAAAAAAAAAGAAAGAAAATGTACTCTAAATAACTTTGAAGGTTTTAAATACATGTGCATCTATCTTCTTTTCAGCCTGTTTCTGTCATGTATAGACATATTTATCCCACTAGGTCCTACCTCACATGGCTTCAGAAGAATAGAAGACAATGTTGTCACATTATCCAAAGAGAAGTGCTGAGTCCCAGAGTTTATTTTTTTTTTAAAGTGAGCTCAGAGATGAAGCAGTAAAAACTTCCTTCCAGCACAGAGGTAGAAGATAAACTGAATAAGCTACACATCCAAAATTGTACATGATTATGAACAATGGTGGACTACACTCAAAATATAGAACAATTAGTTTATTCAATTTTCTAGCAAGGGGAATTCTCTATTAACCTGCACTTCTAAAAATAAACAGTTCAATGACAACTGACACTTATAATGATAAACCTAAAGATATCACAGATTCTGATGTACTTTTTGAATGTGACTTCCTCGTCTGGTATCTTTAAAGTATTAGTTTACAATTATCTTAATAGTCTATAAAAATAATCTCGGCTGGACACAGTGGCTCACACCTGTAATCCCAGCATTTTGGGAGACTGAGGTGGGTGGATCACGAGGTCGAGAGATCGAGACCATCCTGGCCAACGTGATGAAACCCATCGCTAATAAAAAATACAAAAGTTAGCTGGGCGTGGCGGTGCACACCTGTAGTCCCAGCTACTCAGGAGACTGAAGCAGGAGAATCGCTGGAACCCGGGAGGCAGAGGTTCCAGTGAGCTGAGATCGTGCCACTACACTCCAGCCTGACGACAGAGTGAAACTCCATCTCAAAAAAAATAATCTCATTCTCTGACCAAGCCAAGCAGGTGTGTTTGCCATTCCTGCCACTACTTTCTCTTATCTCAGATCTATCCCACATACCAATGTAGGATTAATGTTCCCAAAAACATCACTTTCATCAAAACAGTATTCTGCTAAAAAACAAACAAATAACAACTATAAAATCTCCCCCAACTCTCATATCCTCACTACATGTAGAATAAAGCTCAAATATGTTAACTTGATTTTCAAAATCCTCTACAGTCTAACACCAATTTTTGGTCCAAGTCTTATATTTCACCAATCACATAGATAATGCTTCTGATGCAGCAGAGTTCATTTACATGTTTAAAATACACTGTGCAAACTCTCATTTAAAATTTTCCTCATATAAAAAAGTCCTCCATTTTCCTTTTTATTTTTTTGTTTCTATCTGAATCCAACTAGTCTTTCAATGCCAAGCTTGAGGGCTCTTCCATAGACTCCTCTCTACCTCAAACAAAAGTGATTTCCTACTTTTCTTATTTCCAATTATCCTTGCAAGTATTCATTCATTGAGTCTATTAGCCACACATCAGGTAACTCCTATGCACTAATTGGTATTGTGTTATGATGTTGGGGCTACTAAAATATACAATACTAAGTCCCTACCTCCTCAGGCTCACAGTTCACTGAAGAAACAGACAAGAAAAAAGTTGTTATAGTAGTGTCTGTAATAGAGATATAAATGGGGAGGAAAGTGGGATTATACAGAAGAATCCAACTCAAGCTAGTTGGTGAAATAAGAAAAGGCTTTTTAGAAAAGGTGACATTTGTGTTAAGTTTCAAAGATAGGTAGGAGTATGTCAGGCAATGAAAAGGGGAAAGGAATTCCAGGCAGAGAAAATGGCACATGCAAAGGCAGGAAGGTGAGAAAAACTTGGCAGGCTTGAAGAACTATAAATAGATCAGCATGACTGGATCTAACTCTACCAACTAATTCTATCAATATGTACCAAACTGTTTATTAACCAAGCCTTAAAACAGAAAAAAGACATGGTATCTGTCCTCAAAAAATGTGCACGGGTACGGGAAAGAGATAAGAACGGAAAAGTAATTAAGGGCCTTGTATGACCTACTAATAAATTTGGACTTTCTTCTTTAGCAATTGAGAGCCACTGAAGAAATTTAAGCACTTACCTGCATCATTCAATCCTCTTTTTATTTTTTGCCTGATACTATTACTTATACTTTCAAGTGAATGAAATGCTTCCATAAGATTAAAAGATTTGTTTTTTCAAACAACTAAACCAGAATTTATTCATTCAAGTGAACATTATTCTTTTCCAACTAATCGCCTTGTTAAAATCATAAATGTATTTCAATGATGCTGCTATTAGTTAAAAATAACCTTTTAGTAGTTGCTTTAGAAATGACATCAGAGGCCAAGCGCGGTGGCTCACGCATGTAATCTCAGCAATTTGGGAGGCCGAGGTGGGCGGATCACAAGGTCATGTCACCATCCTAGCCAACATGGTGAAACCCCGTCTCTACTAGAAATACAAAAATTAGCTGGGTGTGTGGCACGCACTTGTAGTCCCAGCTACTTGGGAGGCTGAGGCAGGAGAATTGCTTGAACCTGGGAGGCAGAGGTTGCAGTGGGCCAAGATCACGCCACTGCATTCCACCCTGGTGACAGAGTAAGACTTCATCTCAAAAAAAAAAAAAGAAAAAGAAAAAGAAATAACATCAGACATAGCCAGAAGCATTACCAATCTTAGTACTTCTAAGTACTATGTTGAAAATGACAAAAGTCACTAAGAGCTAAATTTGGCAAATAAGGTGGGTAAGCAAGTTGTAGAAAGTTAAGTTATGGAGGTTCATGTCTATAATTCCAGCACTTCGGAAGGCCAAAGAGGGCAGATCGCTTGAGTCCAGGAGTTTGAGACCAGACTTGGCAACACAGGGAAACCTCGTCTCTATAAAAAATACAACAATTAGCCAGGCATGGTGGCACATGCATAGTCCCAGCTACTCGGGAAGCTGAGGTGGGAGGATCACTTGAACCTGAGAGGCAAAGGTTGCAGTGAGACACAATCGCACCATTGCACTCCAGCCTGGGTGACAAAGTAAGAACTTGACTCATAAAAAGAAAAAAGAAGCCAGGATTATGTTTTAGATCAATTAAAAAGGATCAGCAGAAAATAATAAAAATTTGCATTTATAGATTACTTACTATATACCAGGCACTATATATACTAGCTTATTTACCACTCAAAACAACTCTATAAGGCACAGAGTTTATTATCTACTTTTTACAAGTGAAACTGAGGTGCAGAGTAACTTGCCCAAGGTCACAAAACTGATCGAATGGTGAAGGTGAAATCTGAACCCACACGGTGTGCCTCCAGAGCCAACTCCTAAATCACTATGCTATAGACCACCATGAGGGGGGAAAAAGCTTTGTTTTTTTTTGAGACGAGTTTCGCTCTTGTTGCCCAGGCTAGAGTGCAATGGTGTAATCTCGGATCACCGCAACCTCCGCCTCCTGGTTTCAAGTGATTCTCCTGCCTCAGTCTCCTGAGTAGCTGAGATTACAGGCATGCCACCACGCCCAGTTAATTTTGCATTTCTAGTAGGGCTGGAGTTTCTTCATGTTGGTCAGGCTGGTCTCCAACTCCTGATTTCCGGTGATCCGCCCACCTCAGATACTGTGCCTCCAGAGCCAACTCCTAAATCACTATGCTACAGATCATAATGAGACGGAAAAAACTTTTTTGTGTGTGTGACCCTCCCAAAGTGTTAATTACAAAAATTAGCTGGGTGTGGTGGCACGCACTTGTAGTCCCAGCTACTCGGGAGGCTGAGGCAGGAGAATTGCTTGAACCTGGGAGGCAGAGGTTGCAGTGAGCCAAGATCACGCCACTGCACTCCAGCCTGGTGACAGAGCAAGACTTCATCTCAGAAAAAGAAAGAAAGAACATCAGATATAGCCAGAAGCATCACCAATCTTAGTACTTGATTGGTATACGATGAGTACAATGAGCCACAGTGCCTAGCTGGAAAAAAAACTTTTAATGAACAAATTCAATAAAACCAACTTTATAGCATGACTCAAACTGACTCTTAAGAGTAAACTACATATTGCCTTTATAGAACAACAGTATCCCTGATGACTTCCTCCCAAGATAACTGCAGTGGTTGTTTTAGATTAATTTCTGTTATGTTTGCTTAAGAAAAATCAGCCTTGGCCTGGCACAGTGGCTCACGCCTGTAATCCCAGCATTTTGGGAAGCCAAGGCAGGAGGACTGATTAAGGCCAAGAGCTCAAGACCAGCCTGGGCAACATACTAAGATCGTTTCTCTACAAAAAAGAAAAAATATAAAAATTAGCTGGATGTGGTGGTGTGAGACTGAGTCCTAGCTACCCAGGAGGGTGAGGTAAGAGGAATGCTCAAGCTCAGCAGTTTGAGGCTAAAGTGAGCTATGATTATACCATTACACTCCAGCCTGGGCAACTGAGCCAGCCCCCGTCTCTATAAAAAATAAATAAGTAAATAAAAACTCAGCCTTATTATTTTATAGGTGTACATGTTGAGTACGTCCTCCCTAACTAAACGTAAATCATTGAATCCCATATAGCACAAATTTTGACCTCTGGAGGCAGAAGACCTGGGTCAAATTCCAGCCCTACCACTTTGTACTTGGGTCACCTTATACAAATTACTTAACCTTTCTAAATCCTTGTTTCCTCATTATAAAATTATGATGATGGTTAACAATCTTATAGGGTAGTTTGGGGGACTAAAATAAAGCAGCATTAACACTCATGAACCAGACACTGTGCTCAGTACCTAAGACAGAGAAATAAAGAACACAGTTCCTGTTTTCAAGGAGCTAACATTTTAGTACAGGAAATAGAGAGCTAGCTTATGGTAGACAGCGTTTACTAAGATTCAATCCTATGCCAAAAGACTAGGGAAAAATATGCCAAGATGTTTGTTCGTAGTGTTAAATACTTTTACCTGTATATACTAAGATATTACACTGCTTGATATTTTCCCTTTCATGGATCTTCTAAACCATGTACTATTAACACATATTACAGACTTGGGTAACAGAGGAATATTAAGTTTAAAATTTAAAAAGTATAAAACTTGGCACCTAATGGGTTAAATTTGAGGTCTCTGCTAATTAAAGTCCTCAAAGCTTTATATTTAAAACTTTAAAAATATATCTAAAATATGACTACTTTTTACTACCTCAAGAGTTATGAACCTTGCTCATACAAGCTATCAACTGGATTACAGTCATGTACTAGAAAATGACATTTAGATCAATGACCATATATACAATGGTGCTCCCTTAAGATTATGATATTTTTACTGTACCTTTTATATGTTTAGTTATGTTTAGATACATAAATACTTACCATGGGGTTACAACTTCCTGCAGTAGTATGTAGCATACTGCACAGGTTTGTACCCTAAAGCAACAGGCCATACCATACAGCTTAGGTGTATAGTAGGCTCTACCAACTAGGTTTGTGTAAGTACACTCCATGTTGTTCCAATAACAAGGAAATCACCTTACAACCCATTTCTTAGAATGTATCCCAGTCATAAAGCAACTCCTGACTGTATTTTCTTAGCTTTCTATCAAGTCTCTTTACTTCTACCCTTAAGCATTCAACATTTATATACAACAAAGCATCCGAAGAAATCGAGATAACATTTCATTGCTCAAAATCCTCCAATGGCTCCAGTAGATGTAAAGACCTTCCAAAGGTCCTACAAGAACTGATCCCAGATCATACCTCTCTGATCTATTCATCTCTTAACTGCTTTCCTCTGCTCACTAATTCTAGCCATAATGGGCTCCTAAATGCTCCTTGAACAAACCAAGCATATCTCTTGCTGTTTGTTCATTCTTATCCCAAATATCCACCTGGTTGCTCATTTCTCTTCGAGTCTTTATTCAACTCTTGCTACGACTTTTCCAGTCCAATTTGTCTAAAGATGTAACACCCTACTCAAGTGAAAGCTATCTCCCTTTATTTGCTTTATTTTTCTCCTTGGGCTATTAGTTAATATACTTACTTATTTGTCTCCTTTCCCTCACTCTAAAGGGGAAATATTTTCCTTTCTTCTCATCATTGACATATGTCCAGTGCATAGAGTCTAGCACAAGATAGATATTCCATTATTATTCATTAAATTAATGAATAAAGAGCAATATTCTACAGAGCTGGTAAAAGTTTGATCTCTGGATGCAGAAGACCTGGGTCAAATTCCAGCCCCACTACTTTGTACTTGGGTCACAAATTACTTAAACTTTCTAAATTAGTTTACCCTTCTAAATCTTAGTTTCCTCATTATAAAATGATGATGATGGTATCAATCTTACCGGGTAATTTGGGGAATTAAAATAAAGCAGGTCGAGCACAGTATCTGGCAAATAATAAATGTTCAATAAATGTTATCTATTATAATGATAATAAACATTCCCAACTCCAAAATGCCTCCAACCAAATAATCACATCATTTGTATTAATTGTATCCATTTTCTCAAAAACAGTAGTTACTTTGCAAAATCATTGGATCTTCACATATCAGTTTAAAACAAAGTCAATACAGGCATAACTCATTTTATTGTACTTCATTTTATTGCGCTTTCTAGATATTGTCTTTTTTAAAACAAGTTGAAGGTTTAACAAATTGAAGCAAGAATATCAGCATCACTTTTTAATACCAAGTGCTCACTTCATAGCTCTGTGTCGCATTTTGGTGATTCTCCCAATATTTCAAACTTTTTCATTATTATTATTATATCTATTATGTTGATGTGTGATCAGTAATCTTTGATGCTACTATTCTATTTGTTTGGGGGCACCCCGAACTGTACCCATATAAGAGAGCAAACTTAATCAATAAATATTGTGTGTATTCTGACTACTCCACTGACTGGCCATTCTCCCATCTCCCTCCCTTCTCCTTGGGACTTCCTGTACCCTGAGACACAACAACATTGAAATTAGGCCGCAACAGCCTCTAAGTGTTCAAGTGAAAGGAAGAGTTGCATATCTCTCACTTTACATCAAAGGCTATAAATGATTACGCTTAATGAGGAAGGTACTTCAAGATCCACGATAGGCTAAAAGCCAGACCTCTTGCACTAAACATTTAACCATGCTGTGAATGTAAAAAGAAAGTTTTGAAGGAAAATAAAAGTGCTACTCCAGGGAATACACAAATGTATGTTCCCTTATTGTTGGTAAGGAGAAAATGTGAGTGGTCTAGACAGAAGATCAAACCAGCTATGACATTCCTTTAAGCCAAAGCCTAATCCAGAGCAAGATCATAACTCTTCAACAAAGACTGAGAGAGGTGAGGAAGCTGCAGAAGGAAAGTCTGAAGCTAGCAGAGGCTAGTTTGTGAAGTTTATGAAAAGACACTGTCTTCATAACATAAAAGTGCAAAGTGAAGCAGCAAGTGGTGTTACAGAATCTACAGTAAGATATCCAGAATATCTAGCTAAGGTAAATGACAGACGTGGCTACACTAAACAACAGATTTTCAATATAGATGAAAAAGCCTTCTATTGGAAGAAGATGCCATCTAGAAATTTCATAGCTAGAAAGGAAAAGTCAATGCCTGGCTTCAACATTTCAAGGGAAAAGCTGACTCTTTTGTTAGGGGCTAATGAAGCTAGTGACTTTAAGTCAAAGCCAATGCTCAATGACCACTCTGAAAATCCAAGGGTCCTTAAGAATTATGCTAAATCTACTCTGTCTGTACTCTGTAAATGAAACAACAAAGCTGGATGACAGTACATCTGTTTACAGCAGGGTTTACTGAATGTTTTAAGCTCAGGGTTGAGACCAACTGCTCAGAAAAAAGATCACTTTCAAAATATTACTGCTCACTGACAATACATTTGGCCACCCAAGATCTCTGATGGAAATGTACAAGGAGATGAATGTTGTTTTCATGCAGCTAACACAGCCCATGGAACAAGCAGTCATTTTGACTTCTTAGCCTATTATTTAAGAAATACATTTTATACAGTTATAGCAGCCATAGATAGTGATTTCTTGGATAGAACTGAGCAAAGTAAACTGAAAATCTTCGGAAAAGGATTCACCGTTCTAGATGCCATTAAGAACATCTGTGATTCATAGCAGGTTAAAATGTGAACATCAACAGTTTTGAAGAAGTTGATTCCAACCCTCATCGATAACTTAGAGGGGTTCAAGATTACAGTGGAGTAGGTCATTGCAGATGTGCAAATGGCAAAAGAACTAGAATTCGAAGTGGAGCCTGAAGATGTGACTGAACTGCTGCAATCTCATGATAAAACCTGAATGAATGAGGAGTTCCTTCTCAGGGAAGAGCAACGAAAGTGGTTTATTGAGATGAAATGCATTCTTGATGAAGATGCTGTGAACACTGCTGAAATGACAACAAAAGATTTAGAACAGTATATAAATTTAGTTGACAAAGCAGTGTCAGGGTTTGTGATGACTGTCTCCAGTTATGTTCTACTGTGGATAATATGCTACCAAACAGCATTATATGCTATGGAGAAACGTCTTGTGCAAGAAAGAGTTGATCGATGCAGCAAACTTCATTGTTATTTTAAGAAATTTCTGCATCTACCCCAATCTTTAGTACGCACCAACCTGATCAGTCAGCAGCCATCAATATCAAGGCAAGACCTTTCACCGGCAAAAAGATTATGACTCACTGAAAACTCAGATGACTGTTAGCACTTTTTGGCAATAAGGTTTTTCTTTTTCTTTGAGACAAGGTATCACTCTACTGCCCAGGCTAGATGGGGTTGCAGTGGCACAATCATGACTCACTGCAGCCTCAACCTCCTAGGTTCAAGCAATCCTCCCACCTCAGCCTCCCAAGTATCTGGGACCACAGGCATGCACCACCATAACCAGCTACTTAAAAATTTTTTTTTGTAGAGACAGGGTCTCACTATGTCTCAAACACACTAGACAATTTGAGACTGCCTAGGCTGTCTCAAACTCCTGGGCTCAAGCAATCCTCCTGCCTCAGCCTCTCAAAGTGCTGGGCTTATAGGCCATTGAGCCGCCACACCTGGCTGTACATTGTTATTTGAGAAATAATGCTATTGAACACTAATATAATGTAAACATAATTTCTATATGCACTGGGAAACAAAAAACTTCATCCTCATTTTACTACAATATTCATTTTAATGTGGGTGGGAGTGGTCTGGAATCAAACCTGAAGTATCTCTCAGGTATGTCTGTATTACTCTGTCAAATCTCACCCTACACAAGATTCTTTACAAGACTGTAGCTTGTAAAGACAGATAGGGAGACATTCGTGTCTATTTTACTTCAAAAAGAGTTTAAATACTGCATAAAATTGCACAAAATGACATATTTACCACAATGTTAATAAATATTCCACAACTATTACTGACTCTGCTTGTTTAATAAAACCACACACAAAAAAATGTTAAGCTTTAGGGCCAGACCAATGAAATGCTATACTATTAATTCTGTAGGTTAGAAATTTTCAATTCTGTCAGAATTTCCCAAATTAGATTTCCCATTTGCTGAGAGGCTTACCATATCCACCTGAGTTCATAAGAAGGTCCCCAAGTGGCAGCAGATCCTAACTGAATTCAGCTGCAATGTATCAAATGCTAAAAAGTACATCACTGTTTTAAAAAAAAGTCCCTGACCCCAAGACTCTGATAGTAAAATAGGAGCAGTACATTGTAATTCACAAAACTAAACTCTAATTCTGTACTAGCAATGGTACTTACAGGCTTTTTTCCTGATCTACAAAAGAGGTTAATACCTATTTGGTAGAGTTGTTGCAAAAATCCACTAAGACGAATATTTGTAAAACTAAACTATAAACTATACAGCAACACATTTTATTGTAAAAAGATACATGAAAGAATTTTTAAAATAAAAATAAAAAGCCACAATCCCACAACTACCCTAACCATTTTCATATTTTGTTTGTTCCCTTCAAGACTTATTTTCAAATACTTTTTAATAAAATTATATTCATGTGAATTGGGGAAAGACAGTATAACATGCCTAGGTTCCAGAATCAGATTCCATTAATCAGATGGCCCAGGTTTAAATACTAGGTCCTGAATTTACTGTGTGACCCTGGGCAAGGTTCTTAAATGCCTTTGTCCTGTTTTCTCCTCTATAATTTCAGGATAACAACAGTATCTATGTCATAGGGAGGTGTGAAGAAGAAATAAGTTACCACTCAGTGCTGTGCCTGGCACATGGCAAATAAATGTTAGCTTAAAAAATATGAACTTAATAGTCTGCTTTTTAAAAGATTTAATGTGGTGTCATAAACCAAAAGTATATTATTAAAGTTTCATAAGAAACATACTTTAAAAAAAACTTTAGCATATGTTACATTGACTGTTTTGAAAACATATCTCTCTACCATCCCTTTGTCTAGATATTTTACAGTAATAGAATCAGGCTGAGTGGGTGGCTCATGTCTGCAATCCCAACACTTTGGGAGGCCAAGCCAGGAGGATCACTTGGAGGCCAGGAGTTTGAGACCATCCTAGGCAACACAGACAGCTCTGGTCTCTACAAAAACTTTAAACATTAACCAGGGATGGTGGCACACACCTGTAATCCTAGCTACTAGGGAGGCTGAGGTAGAATAATCACTTGAGCCAAGAAGGTTGAGGCTGCAGTGAACCATCATTGCACCACTACTCTTCATTCTCCAGCCTGGGAGGCAGAGTAAGATCCTCTCTCCAAAGGAAAAAATAAAAAATAGAATCTATTACTTCATACTTCCAGTAGAGGTCTCCATCTAAAAAATAATGTACCAGACTAAACTTTAAATAAGTATCCTTGATTATTAAAAAAAAAAAAAAGAAAAGAATTTATCAAATATATAAGCTTTATCAAATATGTAAGTTTAGGTTTATATAAGTCAAATATTTAAAATAAAGAATATTTGCAGTAAAAAGTGTTTTTTCTCCAAGTGATTAAGTGCAGATTTATCACTTCTACCGGCCAACAATTTAATACCTATGCCTTACAGATGGTATAAGCTAGTAGAATCATCTTAACATAAAAACAGGCCAGGCGCAGCGGCTCATGCCTGTAATCCCAGCACTTTGGGAGGCCACGGTGGGCAGATCACTTGAGACCATGAGTTCGAGAACAGCCTGGCCAAATGGCGAAAGCCTGTCTCTACTGAACATACAAAAAAATTAGTCAGGCATGTTGTCATGTGCCTGTAGTCCACCTACTCAGGAGGCTGAAACATGAGAATCACTTGAACCCGGGAAGCAGAGGTTGCAGTGAGCCGAGACTGCACCACTGCACTTCAGCCTGGGTGACAGACATAGTGAGACACTGTCTCAAAAAAAAATAAAATAAATAAAGGCCCCATTTTATATAGCAAAGAAATCTCTGATAATCTTCTACAATTATTCCTTTTAAAACAGAATGGAGTGGTTAGTGTAATAAATGCAGCTCTGATCTGGTTTCCACTTTTCCCTTCCATCATTCAGTAGTAATGAACTTAGGCAAGTCAATTATCCCCATGCAGGCCTACCTGAAAAAATATCCTTATCTCTACCCTTCCAGAAAGCAGAGCGCTAGAACATCTTCTTAAAAACCCTTCTAGTATTAAGATTGATGATACTACAAATTAATAAATAGATTCAGTAGCTATATCCTATTATAGCTAACTACACGGTTCTTTTTTCAGGCCCTGAAATGTATGCTACTGAGCTTCTACAAAACATTAAGTTTGTATACAACAGCTACTATCTACTTCAACTTACCCCTTTAAATATGTAAGGCTTGGTAAATTCCTATAAGACTCGTTATGGGCAAGAACTGATCAAGAAATCGGCAAGCAATTTACTTAAAATTCTAAAGAGTGCTATTTACACACACACATGTGCTGCACACACACGCACATTTAAGCTAACCTCTATAGTTTATAAAGAGGGGGTCAAAGAAGAAGAGATGCTCCAAGCAATTCTCAGAACTAGCAAGATTTTTTTAAATAACCAAATTACGACTAATTCTGAAGATCAAAAATACCATGTAAAAACATAACACATTTAATTTAGCATTGAGGAATTTAAATGGATTCACCCAAACAAACATAAGATTTCTGACTGTGATTAAAGTACAAATTTGCTTTTCTTCTTTAGGGGGTGCATTAACCTATAGTGAGGACTTATAAGACTAAAATAACTACTTCTCACCTTGAGAATATAAAAATCAAGCAATAATTTAAATTATTGCCTTATTTTTATATATCAAGTAATGTAATCAATGGCCAGCAAAGAACAAAAGAGCGAAAACTGTTTCATAGATAGACAGAACCAGAAAGGTAATTTTCCCCCAAATTTATCAGTTAGCACTGTAGCTGACTCATATTTTTGTGTTAAATTTATGTTCATCATTAATTCCTCTCTTAAATATAGATAATACCTATGTATTAAAAAATAGAAACCAAAATCTAGTATATAACACAAAAAAAATCATTAAATCTGATTTATAAGTCTAATAATATCACTCATTAAATAAACAGCATATCACAGGATTATTACAATTAAAGTCAATAGTTAAGATTACATCAAAATTTATAGCAGGCAGTATCTCACTCAATGAGGAATGTTAGAAGCATCAAACTAAGGTCAGCAAAAAGGCAAGGAAAAGACATTTCCCTTTTCCCTATTATTTAAAACTGTATGGATATATTGGCCAATGCTATTAGACAAAGAAAGTAATGTGAGGCATAACTTGGAAGAGTGAAACAATCCCTATTTACAGATGACATACTAGTATACATGTAAAATTCTAAAAAAAAAGAAAAAAGGTAATCAATCATAAAATTGAAACTATAAAACAATTTATTAAGGCAGCAGTTTAGAAAATACAAAAGTTCAAGAGTTTTTATATAAATAACAGTAACAAATAAGAAGACAGCATGGAAAAGAAAACCACATTTTCAGTAGCAACAACAATAACAATATCCCTGAGAGTAAACCTTAGAAATGTTCAAACCTTATATAAAGAAAACTTTAGGCTCCTGAATGACACAAAAAAGATGTGAACAAATGGAAAGACTTCCACTGCTCTGATAGTCAACTCAGTATCATCACAAAATCAGTTCTCCAACTTATAAATTTAACATAACCCCCATAAAAAGACCAACAAGCTTTTTTTCTGGAACTAGAACAATTGATACTAAAGTTCACATGGAAAAATAAATATAAAAGAATAACCTTGTTAAAAAAAGAACAATGAGGTGAGAGTGGCACTATCAAAGACTAAAACATGTCAAAAAGGCTAGGCACAGTGATGCACATCTGTAGTCTCAGCTACTCAGGAGGCTGAGGCAGGATCATTGCTTGAAAGTAAGAGTTCAATGCTATGATGTACTATGACTGCACCTGTGAATAGCCACTGCAGTCTAGCCTGGGCAATACAGCAAAACTCCGCCTCTTTAAAAAACAAACAAACATGCTGTAATGCCTCAATAATTAAAATACAGCGAGTTACCATTTCTTAATCCCCCATATTGGAAAAATTTAACAAGCCTGACAACACAGCAAAATTGTGGAAAACAGGTATTTTCATACACTGTTGGTAGAAATGCAAAAAAGTTATCTCCTACAAAGGGAATTTGGCAATATTTAACAAAACTACTTATTTAACAAAACAACATATGCATTTATTCTTTGATTGCTGCTTCAATTCCCACGTTAATAGTTAGCTCTAAAGACACAGGGGCAACAATCTGAAAATAGGTTTGCATAAAGTTACTAATATTTATAGATTATTCAGATGACATTATTTACTACAGTAACATTGGAAACAATCTGAGTGCCATTATGTTGGGAACTGGTTGAATAAACTGGGATATAACTACACAAGGAATATTATGCAGCTGTAAAAAGAAAATAATGGGATTCTATGAGCTTAGTGATTTTTTAAGATATACGAAGTGAAAAAAGGCAAAATATATATTTTTAATGAGCTTTATTTTAGGAAGGGAAACTAGGCCTAATCTTAATCTTACATGTTTTGCATATTCATAAATAAAATTTCTTGAATTCCATAATTCAACAAACACTATAGAATGCACTTACACAAACCTAGATGGTATATAGTCTACTACACACCTAGGCTATAAGGCATAGCCTATTGCTCCTAAGCTACACACCAATACAGCATGTTACTGTGCTGAATACTGCAGACAACCATAATACAATGCTAAATATTTGTGAATCTAAACGTATCTAAACACAGAAAAGGTACAGCAAAAATACAATAATATATTCTTATGGGAACACAATCATATATGCAGTCCATCACTGACCAAAACATTTTATGCAGTGCGTGTCTGTACTTTAACAATACATAAACACAAAAAGAACTTCAAGCAAATCAGTAGCTCTACATGGCAGGTTTGTTGTTTGTTGTGGGATAACAATTCTGGAAGTATTCTATATGTACTCCAGAACTGAGAAGATATATATGCTATTGTCGAAAACTAGGATTCTTACTGCAGGTTAAGAGAGATACATGGAATGGAAGAAGTAAAAGAACAAACTAGCTAGTACAGATTACAGATTGCAATTAGAAGTATCAGCATAGCCTCATGATTTTCAAAATAAGTGTATTTACAAATAAAATAATTTTTTTCCCCAGCTCTGTTCTCTAAAAGGGCTAGAGGAAAAAATAACCCAATAGCAATGAGCACACCTATCACCTCGACCTTGGTTTCTATATACTATTCCACACTAAATGGAACCAGAATTTTCAGAGAAATGGATGATTCTAGAGCTGAGTAGGCAAAATCAAGATGACCCTGGAAGATCTTATTTTATCAAAAAGAAAGGGCCCAAGAATAATAGACACATGTTAAAAAGATAAAAGAAGCTAGCTTAAAAAGGCTCCCACTGGCCAAATCTAAGCAACCAAATGCATAACGATGACAGTTTTTAACCATTGTATAAAGTAAAAGTTGAATCAATAAAGAAATAAGAATGAAAATACTTCCCTTACTGGAGACTATCAACTAATAAATGCAAAAGAAGTCAGGAGGAGTGGCTGATCCCTGTAATCCTAACACTTTGGAGGCCAAATGCAAGTGGATTGCTTAAGTCCAGAAGTTTGAGACCAGCCTGAATAAAACGGCACAACCCTGTCTCTACAAAAAATACAAAAAATAGGCCAGGCACAGTGGCTCACACCTGTAATCCCAGCACTCTGGGAGGCAGAGGAGGGCAGATCACCTGAGGTCAGGAGTTTGAGACCAGCCTGGCCAACAGGTGAAATCCCATCTCTACTAAAAATGAAAAAATTAGCCAGGCATGGGGGCACACACATGTAATCCCTGCTACACAGGAGGTTGAGACAGGAGAATTGCTTGAACCCAGGAGGCGGAGGTTGCAGTAAGCCGAAATCGCGCCATTCTCCAGCCTGGGGCGCCAGAGTGAGACGTCGTCTCAAGAAAAAAAAAAAAAAAAAAAAAAAAAAACAACAACAAACAAAAAAAATTAGCTAGGCAGGGTGGCCCACGCCTATAGTCCCAGCTACTTGGGAGGCTGCAGTGGGAGGATGGCTTGAGCCAGGAGGTCAAGGCTGCAATGAGCCGTAACTGTGCTACTGTACTCCAGCTGGGTGTTTTGAGCAGTGTGAGACCCTGTCTCAAAAAACAAACAAATGTAAAAGGAAATGACAGAGTTAGAAAACAAGCATCATAAAATGCTTGTATCATATTAATAACTGATTCAAGCACAAATAAATGCAAGTATATTAATAACTGATTCATGCCCAAACCATCAGTGGATGTTAAAACTACTGGGTAAAAGTTTGATGGTAAGCAAGATAGTTACATGGTCTCAAGGTATGTTGCCACAGATTACTACTCCTTAATTCAAAGAGAAAATGGTAACTTTACAGTGGAGAAATCAGGATATCACTTAACCTCAGCAATAATGGGACAAAGTGACATGACACGCCTCTTGCCAAAAATGCCTAACTTAAATCCTGCAAAAATACTAGACAAATCCAAACTTAATAGTACTTTTGGCCTGTACAGTACAAAATGGTAACATCACAAAAGGCAAAAAAGGCTGAAGTAGAGATATGATAACTACATGCAGTACAAGATAATGAATGGGCTGGGGAGATAGGACTGCTATAAAA